TTAGCATCCTCTGCACATTTGGCCAAATTTCATTACAGTATACAGTACTATAGCAGTTTCTTGGTCTCCTGACACAAGACTAGCTATATCTCTAGGCAGTCATTTCTCTACACATTACCTACACATAAAAAATGGTTACAAATCAAATTTGACAGTCACACGTTTGAAGGTGCACAACATGTGCTACAGTTTACTGTACATATAGAATAGTGAAATTTACTGGTACTGTACGGTAATTTACTGTATGTGTAAGTATAAAACCCCTGTAGATGATTGGCTCAGCTCCAGCTCTCTCCGTTGTTAGCATGCAGAGATTCTGATTGGTGTGTCATCAGTTTTTTTAGTTCATTTATATTTTATTCTGTGATAATTCTGGGGTGGCACAGCTTTTTCTTAGCGTGCCACCCCGGTAGATCCGCCCCTGTATATAGACATTGAAATACTGTAGTTTAAATCTCACATTTATTTCCTGTCACAGTCCAACGAAACCAATAAGAGCTCCCTTGGCTGGCTTCTGTGATGATGAAGTAGAAATATCGGCAGATCCAAAACGCCACACAGAGAACAAACCCGGTGAGCGTGTCATCGTCCTCCACACATGTCGAAGTTCTCCCAGTGTTCTGGCCTGCTCCAGCTCGCCACTGATGGACAGAAGAACTCCACGACCAGACCCCAGCAGAGAGATGCACTAGGGGAAAGTGGAGGACACGTGTTACTACACATCTGAGCTGGAGAGTGAATAGCTACTGCTGATCCTAATGTCCAAATCACCATCTACATCTGCCATAAAAGATTTGACACCTATGTAGTCGTACATATTTTAAATAACTTGTACAATAACAAAACATGTAATTTATGTGCACTTTTTTACATTAGGTTTCCGGTGGCTGTGATATGTTGTCCTGGCTTCCCTGGCTGTTTTCCAGAAAGTCGTCCTTGGATGCATTAGGCTGATAAGTGTATGAATGTCACAAGGTCTGGCCATGACTTTGTCAATAGCATATGATAACAGAATTGTTCAACTCTCAGGGAAATGAAGCCGGAAAAAGTTTAAGCATTAGGTGATGAAATACTTGTGACCGTGACTCATGTCACCATGCAGACCAGAGGACACTGAAAGAGGAACTGCCTGGTGTGAAGTTTTTATATTAGTTTGTGGTGCTCCTTCCTTTACATTTGAGACAGCGCAATAATTATAATTATAGTTTTATGTTTTTAGATTATTTAAATGAATTATTTGAAAAATTATATTACTTTAATGTGTAAAAGTGATTCATTGTTGAGCCAGTTCTAGATATTTTTAGTCATGTAAAAAATGCATGCTGCAATACTGTGAATCTTGGCCACAAATTATGTACAAGTATACTCACACTCGTTTGTTTTTCTGTCAGGGTGGGGACTTTCCATTTATGAGGTTCCATTTGTGACCCTGGACCACAAAACCAGTCATAAGGGTGGAAAGATGAATAAATAAGCTTCCCATTGATGTATGGTTTGTTAGGATAGGACAATATTTGGCCGAGATACAACTATTTGAAAATCTGGAATCTGAGGGGGCAAAAAAATCTAAATACTGAGAAAATTGCCTTTAAAGTTGTCCAAATGAAGTTCTTAGCCATGCATATTACTAATCAAAAATTAAGTTTTTATATATTTACGGTAAGAAATTTACAAAATATCTTCATGGAACATGATTTTTGGCATAAAAGAAAAATCGATAATTTTGACCCATACAATGTTTTTTTTTTGGCTATTGCTAAAAATATACCCAAGGTTTTGTGGTCCAGGGTCACATCTGTGGCCAAAAGGAGTCAACTGCTTTGTGCTATACATTTGTCCATGTCTACATTGCCTATGTGTTAAGATGAACAAAGAACATACTCATCATCTACTAATTTATGTTGGCTTATGCCATCCTCCTTGCCAAGCTAGTTCTGACATTTATGGAAGGCTGTTTCCAAAAATTATGCTGACCCAATTTGTGCGAAAAAAGTGTAGACTGCTTTGTACAATACATTTGTTTATGTCTTTGCTGTTGTTTCATTTGTGTTATCTACTTGTGTCGTCCTCCCTGTCATGCACTCAGCTGTTTTATGCTTTATACAGTAAGTTACTGCTGTCAGTGAACAATCTGTAGTGCATTTTAGAGTTATTCAGATAAACAAATAGAATGTTTTGATACTTTGTCACTAAAGAGCTTTTACGATCTTTCTAACACTCTGACAAATTATGACAAAGCATGAAGACAAAAGGACTGTACTGTAGATTCGCTCAAGTTTATAGAACAGAAATATAAATGCATCTAGAATTGTAGAAAACTTGTTATTGAACAAATGTTCATGTTCTGTTTGTTTACACTTAAAAATAAGGGTGCTTCACGATGCCATAGAAGAACCTTTTTGTCTAAATGGCTCCATAAAGAATCTTTAATATCTGAAGCACCTTTCTGTTTCACAAAAGTTTCTTTGTGTTCTTCAGATTTTAAAAAGTTAAGAACCTTTGACTGAATGGTTCTTTGTGGAACCAAAAATGGTTCTTCTATGGCATTGCTGTGAAGAACCTTTCAAAACCCTCATCCGTCCCTCCCGAACCTGTAACAAAAGTGTCCCTCGCGGGTCAAAATGACCTGAAGGCCAAAAATGACACTAATTTTATTTTTGGTCCAGAAAGCTTATATTGGTCCATTTTTCTATTTTTTTTTCTAATTTGTTATGTAGGTTTTTATTTTTTGGTGATTTTTATTTTTTTCACATTAAATTCTGGATATTTTTATGAAAATTAGCATATTTTATATTTTCTTTGTTGAAAAACAAAGAGACACAATTTCTGCATATTTATACTTTAACCATGATCATCCATCAGGACCTAGGTCACTGAGTGTCTCTAATGCCATCTGGTGGGGAAAAATTACATAAAATTGCATTTTATGTTTACAGCCACTAGAGGGGCCTATAGATCCCTATGGAGATTCTTAAATGAGCCAAACAAGTTAACGACCAACTTGAGGCTTCATTAAGCTTTCAGATATATCTCAAGGCTTTCACATATATATCAAAACATCAAAAAACTATATTTTGTAAAAAAAAAAAGAAATTGCTACTGAATTTTAATCAAAACACATGAATATTCATACAGTTTCATAAATATGTAATAAATATAAAAGATA